TATGAAAAAAAAACACAACAACAATTTGATGTGAATACAAAGAAAAAAATATTTCAATCCATTCAACAAAAATACTTCTTTATTAAAAATTTCATTGATCACATTCTCAAAATTCATTTTCCAAACGTTTCCTACGACAAAATTCAAGAAAATTACATAACTGAGGTACAGAATTATCAAAACAATTTAAAGAGTTTGCTCCAATTATTGCCCAAAAAATCTATGGATTCATCATTAACCGTGGAGGAAATTCTTCAAATGATACAAAACCAGCATGCTTCGGAATTAATAACATACAGACCTCCTACAACTCCAGTAATAATAAATMAATTTTCAGGATCAAAATTAAAATTTTACTCAGATAATTCAGAATTAATGAAATTTATAAATTTATATTATCCGAAAGGTAATAAACATTAAAAAATTAAATTTTAATTGTTTTAGCTTTAATAAGACTCTAATATTAAATAAATTTACAACTCATGTCATATATTATGTTATTATTTAAAAATAAACTATAAATAAAATAAACTATATACTTTTCATGCATCATAATAATGTGCTTCTTCAAATTAAATTTTAAATCAAATCGCTGACCACAATGGATGCAATCATGATTGGTGCCACCAAAGTGGACTAAGAAATGCCTTTTAAGATTATCCCTTCTTTTGAATTTCTTAGGGCAATATTGACACTGATGTACCCCAACAATAGCGTGTGTTGTCATATGGTTATTGTACCACGATTTAAATTTAAACAATTTGTGGCAATCAGCACATTCATACTTGTCATCTGGAACTAAAAAAATATCCAAATAATGCCTCCATAAAAATAAAATATACAGTTAGCATTGTTATTACTTTCATCACTATTTGAATTGGTACAATCGTCACTGGTAGAACTAGCATAATTGTATTTACTCTCATCACTCTCATCATCAGAACTATTATTGCTTACATCATCATCACTGTCATATAGTCTATGGCGATCAATTGTTACTGCTGTATATAAATCACAATGGATGAAGGTCATATTATGATTTAAAAAAACCAGTCTACTTTACTATATGAGTAACGACTGATTAGACAAAAATGAACAAATTAAATGTTTAAAAACAAAAATGTTATTACCGTCCGTATCAGACATTTCTATCCCCGTTTTTGGCGGTCCTTTCACTTCTGCCTCCTGGGAGTTACTTAGATCCATTGTTACTGATGTAATAAAAAAAAATCAATGTATTACAATCAAGGCTGTGCAAGTATTAATAATATTAATATTATTAATAATAATATTAATATTAATATAATATTGTAATAATTAATTAGATTAGGCCGGCCAGCAATTAGAAAGACGAGTAGAAGAAGTATAGAAGACGAATGGACAACGGCAGCTACGGTAAACCTGGAACCAGACAGATACATGATGTTAATAAGTAAAATGGCAAGCAGCTTTCAGACGGAGGGGACAACGACATTAACAATAAAGAGACTAATGGAGTTGATGATGAAGAAGGAGGATGGAGATATAGAAGAGGAATTCAGCGAGGAAGAAGTGAGAACAGCAATTAAGAAAATGACAAGTGCAAAAATTGTAACCATTAAGGATGAGACTATTTCTATATAGGATATTTTAATTAATAATTATTATTTTAATATAATTAATTATTAATAAATTATTTTAAAAATATAAAAAAAAAATATAAAAAATATAAAAAAATATATATAAAAAATATAAAAAATTTCTTTTAAAAATATAAAAAAAAA